TGTGAGGATGGCACAGGACCAGGCAGTGTTTCGGTCTGTGGTACGTAGGGTCGCTGTGAGTTGGAACGCACTCGACAGCACCTAACAACAACCTGTTTTATAGAAGAGGGGAGTGAAAGTGATAATAATGTGAGCAAATAAGTTGGAACCTAAGGCTAGGAGTAACACTCTCCCCTCTCAATAATATCCCTTGCCAAAATAAAAAAAATCCAAACATGGTAGGTGTGTTTGTGTAAATAACTGAGATGGTGACTGACCACTTATGGTAGGTGAGGATTTGACCTTTGTATTATTCTCTCAGTCCGCTTCCCCTTCCTGGTGTTCCAAATATAACTAAATCACAATACTCGGGTAGATCACCAAATAAAAAGCTGTAACACTGTTCACAGCAGGAGCCACGCTGTGTACTTTTACTGTTTCCATTCCTGGAGAAGAATAACTGTCTAGTTATTCTTTCTTTTGCCTAGTCATATATATGCTCTTAGAGCCTAGTGATTTTCAAACTTTTCGGAGTCAAAGAGTCTTTATTCCAATGATATCTTAGATGCAATCCCAACACATTAAAAAGAAAAAAAGCAGAACTGCTCTGGGTAGCAGGAGGCTGAGAACAGGTACTCCAGCAACTTCCTCTGGTTATTATAAAATATTAAGCAGAAAAAGCCTGAACTACATAATTTCTTAAACTGTTAGCTTACACCTGAGTAGAGCCATGAGTCGGCATTGACTTGACAGCAATTAACAACAACATAGGAAATTTTCAAATGTGAACTTTTAATGAAAAGTTTCCTAGGTTCCTAAAGAACCTGTAACTCCAGGAATTAATTAAATCCAAAAACGTTCAATAGAGCCAAAATGCTTTAATAATTACAACTGTCTTACCTAAGATCAATTTTAATAGCAAATATTAAATATAAATATTTAAAATAAGCTTGACACTATACCACTATAGCTTTATACTAAGATGCTTATTCATAGGCAAAATCTCATTAAAATAAACTCCATGTTACCGTGGAATTCGTTCACAATAAGCTATATTTCATGTCTTCAAGATTTAGGAATGAAGCAAAAACACCTCTTCATAATCAGTACCCAAATAAAAAGAAGTACAAAGGACCCAGGAGAAAGAAAGAAGGTTATCAGACTCACAAATTGGAATAATTCTTGAATTGTACTGGTCCTCTTTACTTGAAACATGTCTGAATATTTCCATGATAGATATTATATGGAAAGAATCAAGGCAATTTGGAATATGTGAATTTGAAAATTATAAATATGCAATCTAAATTCAAGACAACCAAATACAGTGCCATCTAGTCAATTCTGACTCATAGCAAGCCCATGGGGTTTCTGAGGCTGTAAATCTCCACGGATGCAGACTGCCACATCTTTCTCCCGCAGAGCCGCTGGTGGCTTCTACCTGCCAGCCTTTCGTTTAGCAGTCAATTGCTTTAACCACCCCGCCACCACAGCTCTTTCAATTCAAGACAAGACAGTAAAACTTGGCTAGCAAACGAAATTTGATGGACATCCTCAGGTTAATTTCATGACAGAAGCTGAATAAAAACTTGGTTTATATTGATGGTCTGGTTTGACTGTAAATTTTCAAAGTTTTAGGAAATATACACATTTATTTTTTCGATGACTAACTTGTTTGAGACCAAAAACTAGGTTCAAAATTAATGTCAGAATACATCATCTCATTCCATCAACCATTTTAAACAGCTTAGTTAGGAACAGGTTGGAATATGAACTAATGAGGCTCTTTGTAATGTTTGCCTGAAATGTTGGTCTAATATTATCATAGGCTTTCCCTCAACTGATACTATTTCCCTTGTTATTAAAAGGCATTCTGATGCCTTGCTAGAAAAGAGGATTCAAGTAGCATACCAGCATTGTTATTTTCATAGATCAGTTCATCATAATTTATCAATGACAATACAGCTCCCAGTGTATTTCTGCATTTAGCATTAAGAAATCATGACTCTTGACCATAAACTGTACTCAGGTTAATAAACTAATGGTGCAGAAACCTAGAAGCATTTGTTACTTAAATTATTTGCTTTTCAGTCAAAATGAGGTATTATTTTAAAAACAAATCTCAAAAAATACGTAACTTGATATTTTAATGTCTACATTAACTATTAAAAGAGCTCAAATAAACTGAACTTTTATGTATATTAATGCTTTGTTTCTATACTGGCAAACTTCATCTTTGTTTTAAATTTTGTAACAGTTTCTTACAAGGATTTAAGTGTCGAGTTAGCTAGTCTGAGAGTCTGACAGTACTAGCAAAAGAAATCAAACCCAACAGAATCCCACATAACTGAAAATAAAACTGACTCAAGGACTTTAGGAGAAATTAAGAGTTGCAGTCACCTTTGGCTATTCAAAAATATTTAAAACAAAAAACTCAAGTAATAAATATCTTAAGTAAATATTATTATCGCCAATCCTCATAACTTGGCAAAAACAACTATGTGTGACAGAAATTATGAGTCCTTAATGAAAAAGGAAGATAGAAGAATTGATATATTTGAACTATGGTGTTGGCAGAGAATACTGAATACACCATGGACTGCCAGAAGAACAAACAAATCAGTCTTAGAAGAAATACAACCAGAATGTTTTTTAGAAGCAAGGATGGTGAGACACTGACCTGCTTACTTTGGACACATCATAAGGAAAGACCAATTGCAAGTAAAAGACATCATGGTTGATAAAGTAGAGGGCCAACGAAAACAAGAGAAACAAACCCTCAATAAGATGGACTGACACAACAGCTGCAACAATGAACGCAAACATACCAGCAATCATGAAATTGGCGCAGGACTGGACGTTTTGTTCTGTTGCACATAAGGTCACCATGAGTCGGTTCCAACTCGATGACAACTAATAACAACAACCTTTCCCCAACCCTGTTGAATGTTAAAAAACATAAAAAACCACATCAGCATAAAGTTCTGATAGACTTGTCATTAAAAAGAAAAGAAAGTCAAAGTCCTGTCTCTATAGGTCCAACCTGATGTGGCATCTCAGTAGTTATAAGAAAGTGATTTTATTTAAAATATGAGTTAAGATTCAATTTAGACATTTTAGAAAGATGAAAATGATATGAATATATCCCACGTGAAAATCAAACTCTATTGTTAAGTTTAACCTTAAATCATGATTTCCCACGTTGAAACACATCACAGGAATGTTCCAGGAGAAAAAAAGTACAATATTAAAGATTTTCCATCCTGTTTATCTTGATTTCAAGGTTTCAGAGTAACAGGGATCATCTCACCATCCCCTCAAGTACATTTTACGTCAGACTCATATGTCTTGATTCATTTACTATTCTATCAGTATATGCAACACACTATATTGGAATAAATGAACACACTATGAGGCTGTCCAAACGTACTTAGGCAGCAGTTCTGAGTTTGAGGGCCCCAAGGAACCATTCAGGAGGTCTGCGAAGTCAAAACTATTTTCAAAATAATACTCATACTTCTTTTTCAACATGTTGACATTTGTTGTACAGGAGGAATGATGGGCAAAGCTGCTGACACTTAAGCATGGATCAAGATGGTGGCACCAAACTATATTAGTCGCCATTGTATCTTCACTGCCACACATTCACAGGAAAAAGCCACTTTCTCTTAAGGATGTCCTTGATGATATCTTAAAAATTAGTTTTATTAAACATCTACCCTTAAGCACACATCTTTTTAATATCGTATATGATGACGGGACGTACAGGTTCTCTGTATGTTAGTGTGATGGCCATCTCCAGGAGCACTTTTGCTACGGAGATGCACACTGAAGTAGCCACTTTTTTCATGAAACACCATGTTTACTTGAAAGAATGGCTGACAGACTATGGTTATTCAGCATTTTCTCTAAAATGAAGTGAGCCTATCACTTAAGGAAAACAACTGACAGTATTTGTCGCCAATGATAAAATTTCAGCTTTCAAAGGAAAACAAAAAATTGAAAAATCTGTATCTGTCACCATGAGCTTGAGTTTCCCAATACTTAAGACTGTCCTGTTGAGATCAGTCATGTTAACAAAAAATATTGTGCAACATAACGTGTCAATATTCAGAAGAACTGCATAATTCAGTGAACCAGTATTTTCCAAATGACCGATGCATAATGTTACAAAATCATGCATATGTAAAAGAGCCATTCAAAATGCAAGACAGACAAATGGATTTTAATGTAAGAGTACGAAGTCTATCGATAAGGTTTCAGATTTCACACTGCAACTAATCTCCAAGAAACTACTAGTTGTCAAGTTTTGACACTGTATCAAAAAGGAATATCTGCAATTACCTGAAGCTATTAAAATACCCTTTTCCAATTACTCATCTGTGTGAGGCCAGATTTTCTTCATATACCGCAACCGAAGTGCCACACTGCAACAGACTGAATGCAGAAGCAGACATGAGAATCCAGCCCAGTGAAAGAGATTTACAAAAATGTAAACCAATGCCACTTCTCAAACTAAATTTTTGTTTTGAAAAATAATTATTTTTCATAAAACCATGTTAATGTTAACATGTAATGAGTTTATTATTTTCAATGAATTAAACAGATGTAAAATTTCTCAGGTTTAATTTCTAATACAGTAAATACCAACAGATGTAACCCACATAAACAGAAGTTCTTTGGGGTCTTTGATTTTTAAGAGTATAAACAGTTCCTGAGATCAAAACACTTGAGAACAGCTAGCTCGGGAATTCAGATTAGTAAGCATTGAACATGGGTTTTTGTTTTGTTAATTAATACATTATTTGTATTTCAAGGGACACTTATCACCCTGAAAAAGTGGTGTAGAAAATGTTTTTGGAGTGGAGAAGGGGTTAATTAGTACTCTCCAATTCATCCTTGAAATTATCATTCATCTACATGGTTTTGTATAAAAAAACTCACAGTATGTTAACTATATGTTTAAAATAACATTCAAAACTAGATTTTTATTTTCAAAAATCATACCACATAGTAAAATGTCACACTGTTTTTCTCAATTCTTTATTTAGGTAACAAGTTGGTTATGTTCACTGCATTGTATGAAACATCACAATATCATACTGGAAAGGTACTATCAGTACAGGGTTGGATCAGAGTGGACAGTATGAACAATAAACCATTTTGCATTCTTCATTCCCTATCTTTCAACAATGCCCCCCCCCCAACCCAGTAAAGGGACAAATAGCTTTTAACATCATCATGTAAAGCACTTTAACTTACAAAGCTAAACTCTAAAGAATAAATAAAATATATTGTGGCAATAATTCCTTTTAGACCAAAAATCAGGTGTACAATGAATCAAATTATCAGGAAAGCTGTCTATATTCAAATGTGTGGCTCTCCAGAAACAGCTTCAGAAAAATGTTACAGAAAATACCATGAATTCCATTTCACACAGGACCAGATGATGACTCATTATTTTAACTACACACAAGGGCAATTACATCCTGCTGAAACACAGTTTAAACATATGGAAAAATGTTTACGAAGCATCCACAACATGTAAACCATGTACAAATGGATACGTTCATTGTTTCTCCTTCCCCAATTGCGTCTTTTAATAAATATTTTGCTCTTTGTGTTCAGCATTAATTGGATTTAATACATGCAAAACTCAAAAAGAATTCAAGAAATCAAGGTCATTGTAAAATAGAATTAAACTAATAATCTTCAAGTACCTATGTGACAGCCACTCTGTACCGTGCCCAATGTTATAAAATGAAAGGTCACTGAACCCATGAAAATATCTCTGTAGTATTTCCTTAGACCTAAAATAGATCATTTTAACTGTATTTATAATAATTTCAATGTGATATTCTGAGCTTTTAAAATAATGTAAACAATTAAAAATTATACCAAATTACACAAAACTTGTTTGTATCTTAAAAGCTGAAAAAATTAAAACTATAGAAACCCACACATAAAACAAAAATCACAATTTACACTATAAAGGCAAATTTCATCATTTAAAAAATTTTGCAGCAGTGAGATGTCAAAGCAAATTATAAATAGCCATAAATTAATCTATTTGGTTTCAAAAGATTTTCTAGTAAAAGTTGAAGGATGTAGTAGATACATGCATAAAATTCATAAGGGTTTATATTATTATTGCCAAATACACTTTATCTTGAAGCAAGGCAACAATACAATTTGGACATTATTGGAGAACCCAGTTGGTAATACAAGTAAAATTGGAAAAAATATAGTAAATTGCTCAAATGAAATTCCAAGCCACAGAGCTGCAAAAGGTTTCCAACTTGGTGAACTGAAAAAGGAACATCTCATACAATTCTTTACTCTTACATGCTTATATGTTGTGTGTTTTGTTTTTTAAAAAAATAATAATAATAACGTTTCTTCAGAGTACAGCTAACTATATTCCCATGCACCTCAGGCACATTTGTTGATCTGTGGTGAAATAACTCCACTGGTTTCTAGGGCCAAAAGTTCAATACAGACGTAACCTGTATGCCTGAGGTTGGCAAAAATACTGTAGTACAGGAAATGCTATGAGTGGCAATTATCAGAAAACACAAATATGAACAAATAATGGGAAATGCTAATGATTTTCTGCTCATATCACAAAACGTTGGGAATCCACAAGAATATTTTTCCCTTGTATTGAAGAAAATTGTGACTAAAAGTTTTTTCCCCCAATTTTCAGAATCAAAAGCATTTTAGAAGGTTTATAAGGCTACCATGGGTCTTCTAGATCTCCAGCACCCTACAGGAAGAGAAAAGGAAGAATGTTATTACTATTTACCTATACTACTTCCAGATTGGAATGAATTTCAAAAGAAAACAAAATTAGATGAACAAAATTACCTTCCTTTGTTTGAAAAAGGCACTTTTACGGAGAGGTGTGTGTACTGTATATTGTGAGTGTATAGATGTATCTATCTATACAGATAACTGGTTGGTTTCATTCTCCCCTCTCCACCAAATGCCCTCCTCTTAAATGACTTAAAAAATATTCTGGCTTTGGAAAAACAGGTCATAATATGAGCTATGGAAGTTTCAAATTATGGTACACTTTGAGTAACCTTAGACACATGACATAAATATGAAGAAGTCAATGTTCTACAGTCACAAAATTGTTGTTTAAAAAAATATTTTCCCATGTGACTAACAGCCACCTGTATTTAACATTTCAATTTTAACTAAAACAAATCTGCCACTGTTTAAAATTGCTCACAAAATTTATTAATAAGTGATGAATACTTATAGCAAAATTGACAATGTTGCAATTTTTTAAATAAAATGGTCATCATGGCAATTTTCTCAAATGTGTGTCCATATTGTCTAAAAATTAATATTCTGTAATTATCCCCACAAAAGGGGAGAAGAAACAGATTTACTTTGAGTACACATTTAAATAATATCAATGTAACTTTTCTATTTTTAAATAAAAGTTTTCCTCTTAGTTAAAGAAATAAGCTAAGTCAAAAGTTTTCTAAATTCTACCTAAATACAAATGAATTTCTAATGGGTAATTTTCCCAGTGTACCAAACCTGATTGTTTAAAAAAAAAATAACTTAAAAATAAGTACAACATGCATAGATTATTCCACATCACATGCTTTATTTGGACTTAAACACTTATAATTTCATTCTAAACACTTGATTGACATACATTTTGATGTGTGTAGTTAGGCTATACAGATTATACAAACCAAAGCTGTATGAATAATACATAGGTTTTTCAAAAACTGTTTATGAAGAATACAGAAAAAGGAAAAATAACCACACATCCAATATCTCACAACTTCTAAAAATAAAACTACAGAGATGTAAAATATAAACAAGTCAACAACACAAAATCATCATCCTTGAGAGAATTACAGCCTAGCATCAGTCATTCTTTGAAGAACCAAACTTATTAAGGAAAACACAAATTTATTACAAAGTTAACTACGAGTGTACTAATATGTAATGTGAAGCAATATAATTCTACATTAACAATTTTTTTATACAATATAATGCACTCTCTAATCAGTAATCTCTAATCCTGCCTAGTATGAATTTTACTTAAACTGACTTTAATAAATGGTAGCCTAATTTCTGGCATACAAGATGAAATTATATATCATTTTATTAAACTCAAAGAACTATAAATACTTAATTTTAAACTGTCTGATAAAGGTGTATGCAAAGAAGGCCTTCTTAAAAAAACAAGGCTATATGAGTATAATAAACTAGTTTTCCAGGATTCAAATAACAAAACGGTTATATAAATGCATACATTATACTTCCTAAGTAAAAACCATCAAACCAAGGATCACAAAAATATTACCAAAAAGGAAAGTCATATTTTTTCATCACTCATCTTTGTCCCTGCATCTTCATTAGAGCTCTCTAATTCAGCAAGATCTCTTTTTGATTCAGTATGGCTTTCCTGCATTGTCACTGGGCTTCCAGCATCACTGTTCGAAGAAGAAGCTGTAGCAGCTGGTTCAGCAGGGCTTTCTTCTCCCTCTACTTTAGCTAGCCTGTAACTAGTCAGCATCTCCTCCAGAAGTTGTCGGTAGTTTCCCCTATGATTAATTCTCATTTGCCTGAGAGCTTCCACCAATTTCCCCTGTGATCCACCTTCCTCTGCTTCATCGGAGGCCTTTTTTTAAGATTCAAGACCCCAGTGTCAGTAGACAAACTAGGATATCACATGTATTTCATAACATATTACAGCAAAACACTCATTAATCTACTATGAGTAATATACTCTAAGCACGAGAACATTTAATTATATTAAAGTAACCAATCTTACCCGTGTCAATTAATAAAATTTCTATATTGTAATAACTCAGTAAATTATTTTAGCAAACAAATTACCATTAATTAGTTTACATCTTATTTCTTATTTTCATTTGAAGTTTAATCTGAAATTTACTCTTCTCTTAGAATTCAACAGCAACATAAACATTTCCTAAACCCAACTTACTCAAACAATAATTGGCTATAATGATTTAGTAGAAAAGGAAATTAGTGTTTAAAGCAATAGGAAAAGACAGAAAAGCAGGCCATCAGAACCTTAGTTTCATAATCACTTCTGCTAAATGATAGTTAGGAAAAGAGATATAAAATATAAAACCATATAAACTTAATGGTGGTTTTTTGGGCTATTTTAAAGCTTTTTGGATAAATTTTTTATCTTCAAGTATTTTAATAAAAATATCTCCAGATATAAAATAGATAAATTATTTTAAACATTAGAATAAGATATAAATAGTAAATGCCTAGATCCTTTTATATTGACTTAATTTTGGAAAATCTTATACTAGCTATTTAATCTTGTTAGCAGAACAAGCTTTAATCATCCAAGCTGATCATAGCTGATAAGACTAAAAATGAGATCATCTTACACTATGTGCCTCCTGATGGGATACACTGTGAAGTGTAGAGCCATGGACGGCATTTTTGCCCAAAATTTTTAAAGAATCTAATAAAGCTAGGCCTCAGTTTACAGTAAAAAACAGGGAACAGAGGATCACGTTAAAGGACGCCAGGAAGAAACAAATCATATCAACTCAGAATGTAGGACATTCAATAAAAAAACTGGGTCAGATTCTTCAAAAAGTCAGTGTCGAGGAAAAAAGAGGGCTGGGCGAGGTGCTTGATTAAAGACAGACTAAAAAGACGTAACAAAGTGATTAGACCATGGTTTAAAATAACAATTATAACACTTACTCTAGGGAAAACTGAGGAAACAGGGTCTTGATATTAGATAATATTATGGAATTTACTATTAATTTTCTTAGGTATTATATTGGTATTATGGTTATGTAGAGCTGCATGCCAAAATATGTAGAGGTTAATTATTACGATGTCTGCAATTAGCTTTAAAATGATTTAGCCAAAAAAAGAAAAGTGTATATACATACACATATTTATATAAAGTGATATGGCAAAATGTTAACAACTGATGAATCTAGGTAGAAGGTATACATTTCACTATGATCATTTCAACTTTTCTATATGTTCAGAAGTTTTCATCATAAAATGTTGGAAAAATAAAATACAAAAAAAAGTTACTGAATTTGATGACCTAACACAAAGTCTTAACCATCTTTGGAGACTCATCCTATAATTACGCTATAATTAACAATCCTATTATCCCATAATTCTGCAATAAAGGTAAAGGTAGCCACAAAAAAACTGCAATGTTTATTAGAAAAAATGAGAGCACTTGAATACTTCAAAAAAAAAAAAAAAAGTACCCTTATGATAAAAAGAAAGAGATGATACTGTGTATAACACATGATTTGGGGATATGTATATATCTGTGTATCAGTTCATTTTAGGATTTTGCATGTAAAATGCCTAGAAAGAAAGGAAATACAGTAAAATATTAATAGTGATACTGGGCAGTAGTGTTATAAATGCTTTATTTTCTTTGCATTTTTTGTATTTTCCAATTTTCTACAATAAGCATGTTAACTGACCAAAAACAAAACTTTTTAAAATTTGCAATTTATTAATTTATCTAGGGAGAACAGTAAAAATGTGCTGTTTAAGATTTTTCTTATTATTTTTCCTTATCTCTCACCCACTCCAAGATATATACATTCAGCAGGTCTATGTTGCTTTTTCATAGTTTTATTTATTTATTTTTAAATCTATATACCAGAACCACTGACACATACACTAAACAGTATAACTCTACCTACTTGGGCTTATTGATAAGGTTGCATCAACGATTATATTTGAGTAAATTTTGGTGGGTCCAACAGAAAAGGCGTCTCTCACTCTCTATCGGACACCTTTATTACTCCAGGAATCATCTGTATTTCTGTGAACTGCTGTAGTAGTAGTAGTAGTTAGGAAGGAGTTCTGCTTTCTAAAAAGTACACTTACTAAAAAAATACATTTAGACCAAACCTGTGAATCAAGTAGGGGTGGATTTACCATGGCTGGCATCACAGAATCGCTGAGTTTAAACTCAGCTAAAGATCTCACATTAAAGTTGTTTTATCTTTTGCAAAATTTTATTTTCCCTCATGTTTGCTGGACAGACGGACAATGGAACTTCTTCCTCAGCCATTTCATTTGACTGTTCAAAACAGTGTTGTTTACACAACTATTTCATGGATTTCCATTAATATAAGAGGAACCTATTATCTAGCTGCAATTTCGTACTTGAACTCAAATAGGTGATACAGCACACCATGCTTATACATTATAGCAATGAATTCCACCATTCAACTCCTCACAAGTCTCTCCAATTATACTACTCCTTGAGAGTCTGAAGATAATTTCATATTCCTTTCTATATTCTCCTACCACCTATAAAAGGAAAAGTAATGTTTGTGCTAACAGCTTTATATACATAATCCTTTTTAATCCTCATAGGTACTCTATGAAATACATACTGTAACCCTCATTTTATAAGTGAGGAAACTAAGGATCAGAGACATTTTAGTAATTTGTCATAGTGGCAATGCTAAGATTTTTGTGTGCAGGTATAGCTAACATCAATGCCCATCTGAATATTCTTTTGAATACATTATGGTACTAACGGAAGCCCTGGTGGCGTAGTGGTTAACAGTTCGGCTGCTAACCAAAAGGCTGGCAGTTCAAATCTACCGGGTGCTCCTTGGAAACCCTATGGGGCAGTTCTACTCTGTCCTATAGGGTTGCTATGAGTGGGAAGTGACTTGATAGCAACAGGTTTTTATGATGCTAACATTTTTTCATAGTAAATGTTCCATATAAATAGACATTTACTAAAGAAATAATTATTTTATATTGAAAAATTATTTCATATTGGAGTAATGTATTTCCTTACTACAGTAAAGATTAGTAAAATTATAGGACACTAGTCATACTGATAAAATTCATATTGGATTGGATGTTTAAAATTATTCAAAATAAATCTAAGGAAACTTAACAACAAAAAGATAAATAACCCAATCATAAAATGGGCCAAGGACTTGAACAGACATTTCACCGAACAGCAACAGGACATTCAAATGGCCATCAACACAGGAAAACATGCTCAGCATCACTAGCCATTAAATCAAAACCAAAATGAGATACCATTTTACTCCTACTAGGATGGCTAAGATAAAACAAACCAACCAACCAAAAAATAACAAATGTTGGCAAGGATATGGGGAAATTGGAACCCTTATCCATTGCTGCTGGGACTGTAAAGTGGTACAGCTGTAGTGGAAAAGAGTGTGGCGGTTCCTCAAAAAACAAAAAATAGAACTACCATATGACCAGCAATTCCACTCCTAGGTATACACTCAAAAAGCTTGAGAGCAGAGACTCAAAGAGAGATGTGTACACCAGTGTTCACTGCAGCACTATCCACAACAACCAAAAGGTGGAAACCACCTAAACGCCCATCAACAGATGAATGGATAAACAAAATGTGGTACATACATACAATGGAATACTACTCAACCAGTAGGAGAAATGAAGTCTTGATATATGGATGGAACTTGAAGATACTATGTTGTGTGAAATAAGCCAATCACAAAAGGACAAATATTGTATGACCTCACTTGTACAAAAAGACAAGAAAACTCAAATGTACAGAGAAAAAGTTTATTGGTGTTACCAGGGCAGGAGGGAGAGGGAAAAGAAGGGTTAATGGTAATGTAAAAATACCAGTGATTAAGGATAGGGTGGCACAGCTAATTACTGTAATTGCTGTCAACAAATTGTACATTTGTTAAAAGTTAAATTGGCAAAAGTTCTGTGACAGATATATTTACAATAATGAAAAAAAAAAAAAAGAGCAGCTGCCGAGGCTGCTTATGTATAACCAAATACCTCATGGGATTTGGTTCCTTACTTTGGAGGTTTAGGATCATGGTTTCATGGGACTTCCCAGTTAATTGGCCTGATAATGTGTTTAGTGCCTCTGTTCTACCTCCTAGTTCACTGTGTAGTGCCTGGGGTCTTAAAAGCTTGCAAGCCCCGAGGCACAACAATTGGTCTCTATTCACCTGGAGCAACAGAGGAAAAAGGAGAATGAGGAATAGGAAGAGGGTATATGGAATGTGTGGCTAACTGCCTCCACGAACAACTGCCTCCTTGGCCATAAGACCAGAAGAACTGAATGGTGCCCGGCTACCATTACTGAACATTTTGATCAAAGATTCCATAGAAGAATCCTGATCAAAAAGGGGAAAACGCAAACCAGAATTTCAAATTCTCACGGATGCTAGACTTTCTGGAGCCATGGAGGGTGGATGAACCCCTGAAACTACTGCCCTGAGATAATTCTCAAACCTTAAACCAAAAATATCCCCTGAATTCATCTTAAAACTGAACAATAGTTTAGCTTAACTAGTGAAAAAGACCTACCTTGAGCACTATGCTCTTTTAAGAACTATCTATATGGGATGTTTCACAGATTCATCATTTTTCTTTATTGTTGCATAGTATTCCACTGTGTATATGTACCATACTTTATCTATTCATATGCTGATGGGTACTTACGTTGTTTCCATCTTTTTGCTATTATGAATACTGCTGCAATGAAATGGGTCTTAAAAGCTTGTGAGTGGCCATCTAAGAGACTCCACTGGTCCCACCGCGACTGGAGCACGGGAGAATGAAGAAAACCGAAGACACAAGGGAAAGATTAGTCCAAAGGACTAG